ACACCCACTCGTGGGACCCCCCCTCCAAAACCAAAAGCGTTTCTCTTTGCAGGGAAACGAGGGTGTCCCCCCCCTCACCTGGCACAGGAGCCCCCCAACCCACCCCAACACCAACCAATGCCACTTACAGCCACCCCACGTCCACACGAAGGACTCTCCTGCTGCAGCCATGCCAGCTCCTCCAAAGCCCCACAGCGAGGTGGTGGTGGTGGGGGGGGTGCTGGTGCCCCCCCAGCTGCAGCAGATCTTCATCAGCTGGTAATTAGTGGGCTCAGCTGCAGGGGAGCAGCCACAGCCCAGCTGGGGAGAGCCCAGCCCTCGTTGGGGCACTGGGGGGGTACCCAGGTCCTGTGCCCCATCCCAGGGAGGGATTTCCCCACATCCTTAGGTTTTTCCTCGGAAAGAGCCCACCCCACGGCAGGGGGGGTCTCCTCCCTGCACAGCACCCGGCAGGGACGAGGCGTCGGGATGAGGGTGGTCTCCCCCGAGGGAGGGGAAAACCCCCAGGTCCTGGACACAGGCAAAAACCGTCGCTGTTGAGATCAAGGATTTATTTACACGTCAAAGGAAAACTCTCACCCAGAGTCACGGGAGGAGGAAAAAAAATAACAAATCAAAGCAACCCAAAGGACCCAGCGATTCGCCTCCCGAACACAACCGCTGGTGCTCCCCGGTGCTCCGGCCACCCCCGGGGCAGCCCACGGCCTTCTCTCCTTCTCCCAGAGGAGAAACTGAAGGCATCATTCTTTTTTTCTCTTTTTTTTTCTCTCTTTCTCTCTCTCTCACAGTTATCTGTGCCACGGAAAACACAATCTGAACGTAAAAAGCGCCTTTTCCCAAGAGAGCTGCCCCGGCGCGGGGGGCTCAGGGGGCACCCCTGGCTCTGCCACGGGGGGAGGCCCCGGGGGGCTGCGGGGTCAGTACTCGTCCAGGGTGTCTGCCCGGGGCACGCAGAGACCCCGCTCCTTCAGCGCCTGCACCTTCAGCTTCTCCGACTCCTGCTTGGCCTGCTGCTCCACGCGCTGCTCCTCCAGGATCTCCTCGATGGAGACCTGCTGCAGGGGGGTATCGCTCTCCTTCTCCAGGTCCTGCAGGAGAAACCGTCCCTTCAGCAGCCGCCGCCGTGACCCACAGCCCTGCTCCTGGGGGGGCTCCGGGCACCGCTCCCCACGGGGCACCTCGGGGATGAGCCGATGTCACCTCCGCCGAGCAGTGGCCGGTCTGGAGGGGCTTAAAATCCAGCAGAAATGGCAAAGCTCTGGGGCAGATCTGCAGTCCCATCTCCACCGGGATGTTAACATCCCCCCATTGTGTGCTTGGGCTCCGGTGACGTCCTGGAGTTCCCTACAAGCCCCTGGTGCTCCCGGGGACAGTGGGGATCATGGTGCCACCACCGTGCTCCATCGCTCTTGCCAAGGTCACCGGAGCAGGAGGCTTCCCGAGGTGGGGACCAGCCACGGCAGGGGTTGCCCCCCAGCTCTGGGCTCTCTCAAAAGCAGCCCAGGGTTTTGTCCTGGGAATTCTCATGTCCCCCTGGGTCAGGGCCCACGGGAGGGGGCACCTGGGCTGAGCTCAGCCCAAGGGCCAAAGCCAAAGCAGGTGAGATGGTGCTCCGCTCCTCCCGAGCCCATCCTGGATGGTGTCCCCGGCTGCCGAGCCCACAGGGAGGTGACAGCCCCACAGCTGCTAACGACCCCCTCCACACGCACCGGGGCTCCCCCACATCTCCCTCCGCTTGTCACGTTACCCCCCATGAGCCTCTTACTTACTATCTCCCCCAGCAGCACAACGTTCTCCCCTCTCACAACAAAGATGCCCCGAGGGATGTCCCCATACTTCTTGCCCACGTGGATGCGCTCCACGGTCTGGTGCAACACCAGGTTTGCTGCAGCGATCGAGAGAGAGAGAGAGAGAGAAAATAATCCCCCGTTTTGCCATGTTTTCCAGCTCTGAGGAGCTTCTCATCCCCCCAGCCGGGCAGAAAACCGGGAGAACCAACAGCACCGGCCCCCTCACGCCTCCGAGCTGGACCACCGCAGGCACCGACCACCATCCCGGCTGAAAAGTGATGGATGTAGCACCTCAGGAGCAGCAGGACCAGCTTCTGTCCCCCCCCAGCAGGCAGCGAGCCCGGACCACCAGGGCCCAAGCCCCCCCGGGCACCAGGTGCCGACGGCAGCGGAGAAGACACCGGCATCTTCGGTGCTGCAGGTTCTGGGCAAGGACCACGGCACTCGGCCGTGAGCACCAGCATCACCCCTCTGCGTGTCCTGGGCTGTTTGTGCCCAAAAAAAGAGGCGGCGGAGCATCCGTGGGGAAAAGCAGCCGGTTCTGGGGGATGTCCCCGTGAAGGACCAAGCCCGGTGGGACACGGTTCAATCCACGACCCAGACACGCTCTGAAAATCAATGATCTACTATCCCACTGCTCCACGCACAACTAAACCCTTTTCTTTCACACCCCGTGCTGGTCTCAGCCCAGGGGAGGTGCTCGGGGCCGGGGGCTCCTCACCCCGGGGGTCACAACCCCCCCCCCCC